TGCAAATCTAACTTTATTCATTCGCAGAATTGCAAACTTATAAACTCAGAATAGCGAGATATAAACTCACAACTCTTTACAACACACAATTGCGAGTTTAAATCTCGCATTTTTGACATTGCGAGATATAAACTCGCAATTGTGAGTTATACAGTCAAAATTGTGATGGGAAAAGTCAGTCTTTTTCCTTAGAATCGGACTTTATAACTCACAATTGCGAACATATCACGCAATTGTGAGATAAAAAGCCCACAATAACCTTTTTAAATGTTTTATTCTGTGGTGGAAAAAAGCCATATAATCTATATGTATTCCTTTTTTTACACTACATACTATACGTATATATATATGCACGCAGAAATATGAGTGTAATCATGAAAACTCTCTGAATAGTTTGAGCATTTACTGAATATGGCGATGTTAAAGGAGTAGTTCACTTTTTAAAAAAACTTTTGCTGATAATTTACTCACCCCAAAGTCATCCGAGATGTCCATGTCTTTCTTTCTTCAGTGGAAAAGAAATTAAGGTTTTTGATGAAAACATTCCAGGATTTTTCTCCATATAATGGACTTCATTGGGAACCAAACGATTCAAGGTCCAAATGACAGTTTCAGTGCATCTTCAAATGGCTTTAAACGACACCAGACGATGAATAAGGGTCTCATCTAGCGAAACGATCGCTCATCTTTAAAACTTTAAGTTTTATAAGCACAAATGCTCGCCTTGCTCTGTTCTGTGATGCGCGTTCGTGACTCTCCTGTTCGAACTCGTTCATTAAAACAAACAAATCTTTTTTCGAGTCATGTGGTTCATAAAATAAGACAAGACGCTTATTCATCGTCTGGTGTCGTTTAAAGCAGCACTGAAACTCTCATTTGGACCTTGAACCGTTTGGTTCCCATTGAAGTCCATTATATGGAGAAAAATCCTGGAATGTTTTCATCAAAAAGCTTAATTTATTTTCAACTGAAGAAAGAAAGACATGGACATCTTGGATGACATGGGGGTAAGTAAATTATCAGCAAAAGTTGTTTTTAAAGTGAACTACTCCTTTAATGTATTTGGTCTCGGCGGACTCGATTCTCCTAATAATAATAATAAACTAATAATAGTTACACAGACACACTACTGTGAGAATATAAGATATGCTGCTACTGCATAAGCATACATACGCGAATCCCAGAGCAGATCTGGGCAGGAGGAGGGCTTCAGAAAACTACAGCGAACACCAAACCAGGATATTTAAATGTTGAGCAAGCAAACTCTTGATTCTGGCACGTCCTGCACACGGGAAACTGCTAATATTTGATGTAACGGGTAGATTAATATTTACGTTGTCATTTGCAGTGCAGATGTGGGCCGTGAATCAATAGGCACGGTGGACAGCGGGTCTAATAGGTCAGACTATTTCAACTCAGTTCGGTACCCACACACAGGCAGCTGCTGTCAAACGACCCCGTGCTGGTGTGTGTTCACACACTCAGACCGTCAACAGTTTCTAATTACAAAGTGATTTGCAGAGATGAGAATTGTAGCCAATCGCGCTGCGACTCTTAGCTCACTTGCTGTATATAATCTATTCATAATTTGAATTAAAGTTTTATTTATCACACAGAGACAACCGCATTTAAATGCAGAGTGAATCTGCTAAAATATCCCAATATCATATTGCATGACAGTAAAGGCTCATGTTTGGCTATGTTCTTTTGATTTATAGAGACTGTCATCTACAAGTGTCTTCTATAGCCTGTGATTTATGCACATTTGTTCAAAATAGCCTGTATGGGCAGAAGGCAAAAGTTTTGTGTTGTTTACTCTTATCCTTCATCTGTTAATTATTACTACGTTTTGCTGCATGCCTATTTTTCCAAAAATGCATCAACTCAAAAAATGCCCAAAATTTCCCACATTAGGACCAAATCAATTCAATTCAAACTGCAATGTTATATTTTTAGAAATTAGAAACAATTTTTCTTTCTTGAAGAAGAGACATCTTTATTTACTTATATAATGAGATTTATAATAGGAGTAAAATTGGAGTAAAATAATAAATGGCAGCTAGACAAGACAGCTCCATGTTATCCATATAATAAAAAAAGTTATTTGAAGAGTTCAGATGCAAAAGCCTCTAAATGCCATTTGAAATTTTCTTCTTTAATGATGATTTTTATCAAACTTGTATATTTAAGTTCAGTAATTTCACTTAAATGGCAGTGATAATTACCTATTAATTGTTATTTAAGTAAAATTACTGAACTTAAATATACAAGTTTGATAAAAATCATCATTAAAGAAGAAAATTTCAAATGGCATTTAGAGGCTTTTGCATCTGAGCTCTTCATTTGTAAACCTCTGAAGCTGGTAATAAACTCATGTATCCCATGATTAGTTATCAAAAGGTAAAATATCCCAACCAGTCACAACCTTTTCCATAAAAGCATGTAGAACCGCATCCGGCTGCAGGGAGCCTTCCTGGAGTCTCCCGGTGAGCTCCGACAAAGACAGAGACACTATTGAACTGCTCTCAAAGTCTGGGTTCTGGAGAGAAGCAAGAGACAAACATCAAACATCCCTAAAGATCCTGAGAATCCTCTCAGAGAGCTCCTAACTTGCCAGGAGTTTTAGCTTAGAAGTGATTCCAGAACATTTTCAGTGAACTCTGAGCAAGGAATGGATGGAAAATCCCATCTTAGTGAGGAGGTGAGGTTGACCCCGTTGCTAGGTATGAGTCATCACTTCAAAAGCCATTATTGGTTGATCCTACAAGTTTGATGAAAATGAACTTTTGGTGATAATGAGCAAAGGATGTACTCTCAAATCAATAACCATAATTATACACTCTAATCTTATGCAGAGTGTAATTGTAAATAATATTTCACATTCAAGAAAATATCTGGAAAATGAATAGTAAGCTGTAGGGGTTATAGCCTAACATTAGAATCTATGTGAAAACTTAAGCTCATTACACCCTGTTCAAATAATTATTTGTGTCTTATTTGCTCATATTAATATCCTAGCTGGCATATTTTGTACTTTCACTCCCATATTGTGAGGAAAAGGATAAAGTGAGGAAAAAGTCCAGTCACTCAAATGCTTATCCTTCTAGAGGTGGATGTTGGTTTCCAAACATTTAGTTAAAAACATTTAGGGGAGTTTTCCAGTATCATAATATTTTTGTAATATAATATCTGTTCAGCTGAACACAATAACACCACACTCACATGCATTAGGTCAAAAGTCAATAATATAGTGAAAATAAACCGAGGGTTGTTCTCCATAAAAGTCAGGTGGGGAAAAGTTGACACATTTAGTTTGATTTAATATTATTAATTTATTATTTTGGTTCCCATTGAAGTCCATTATATTGAGAAAAATCCTGGAATGTTTGTTTTCATCAAAAAAACTTCATTTCTTTTTGACTGAAGAGAGAAAGACATGGACATCTTGGATGACATGGGGGTGAGTAAATTATCAGCAAAAGATTTTTTTTTTTTTTTTTTTTTAATGAACTACTCTTTTAATTAGCTTTAAATGTATATTGACTATAATAAAATATAAACAAAAACAATGGATTTTTGTTACCGCTTCCACTTTTACAGTAAAATACCGTTATATTTTGCTAAAAAAAAAAAAAAAAATATTCCACTGTGACAATATAGAGACAACATGATAATTTCAGAATTTCAATGGCAATGGGAACCATGACTTTTCTCTATCTAAATGCATGACATGCGTAACAAATAAACCCATAATGCATGGGCTATCGGAATAATAATTAATGCATGATAGATTTGTATTAACTTACCTGTATTTTAAATTGTTGCACCGCTTGTTCAGCCAGTTGAAGTGATTTATCACGTCTTTTCCGTGCGTTTAGTATTTTATTCTGAATCTTCTGGTTATTTCTCCATTTCCAGATGAGAATTAACGCATATGTGCCGCAAACTGTGGCTGCAAAAATCGGCGTCCAGTTAATATTCATATCTGAGTTAAATTGTTGCAAATTAAAACTCTCCATTACTGTTGCTCAGTGTGTTGTGACTCTCTGGTCTCTGGTTCTTTAAGAACTCCAGAAGTGTTAACGGCAATGAATGTTCGAAGTTATGTCATTCTCTGGTTATGCCCCCATCCATCCACCGGAAACTGAAGCCTCTCGGGAGCCTCGGTTGCATAGATATCTATATAAAGGCTAGATGTCTCACGGCGGAGGATTTATCGTCATCACCGGCGGCCATCTTGTCACAGACAGGCTTTCTGGCGGGCTCTGTGGTATCTGGTGTAAGAAATACAGAGAAATACTCTTATCTCGTTGAAATCTTGACGACAAACGGTTTGGTTTCTTACAAACGTTATTAACGTGGCTATAATTCTGGATGATTATTTATTTATACACTTATAAGTACGCAGTATCATGACTACATCTCTGCCGTTTATAACAAACCAGACCGTTTGAAAATCGATAGAAATATGAGCAAGTTACGGTGATATAAAAAGTACATGCGCCATTAAAACAATGTTACCAGTGAGCGAGCTGCCTGTGACAAGATGGCCGCCAGGTGCTGACGTCGACCTCCATTGGCCAGCAGCGCGGATGAGATATCTAGCCTTTATATAGATATCTATGCTCGGTTGTTGTTGTTGTTTTTTTTTTTTTTTTTTTTTTTTTACTTCCATAGTAGAAAAAATAATACTATGGAAGTCAATGGTGCCAAAGTCCCAACCGTTCTTTAAAATATCTTCCTTTTTGTTCAGCCGAAAAATAAGGCAAAACAGGTTTGACGTTCATTCTCCAAGCCAACAGATGGCAGCAACGCAGATCAACGCTAGTCGTATATAAATGTGGAAATATGACATATATTATATACGTCTCTCGCTAAAAACTACACTTTATTCAATATTAGAGTCAGATACACAATTATACACAAATATTGGTGTTTGCATCATGACATGAACGCGATGAACCGGAAGTTGGCAGAGGTGGACGTCTCTCTTTTTCACGAACGTCTTTAAGCACGTACAGCTTCCGGAAAGTGTCACGCTGTCCTCCATCGGCGATTATTACCGTCCACAGAGGGTCACTTCTGGAAAACTAAACTAAAATCATGGTTTTAGAAGACAAAATGATCTTGAACGGAGAGCCAGATGAGGTATATATGCATATAGTGTTTAGCTGTGCGGTTTAAATCTAATTTAGGGGGCAAAGGAGCCGATTTATGTCGAAATGTTCTGGTTTATGTGGCCGAGCTTGATCTATATGTTGATTATTATGTACATACTACATATATACTATTATTCCATGCTTCTGCTGTCTAAACTGTTGCGTCAGATTTCCACTTAGCCTTGTACGTGTATGCACACTGATCCTTGGTATCCTATCTATGTATTACTTTTCATACTATTCCTGTGTATGAACATACATGTAACCGATTAATATACTTTGTTGTGTTTAGGAGGAGGAGGAAGAAGAAGAAGAGGAGGAGGACATGGTGGTATGTTATGTCTCTCTCTTATGTATTATATCAACATTTTCCGACGAATATTATGTGGGAACATTATGTCCAAATCAATACATAGGATTTTTTTTTTCAAGTGTTTAATTCCATAAACTTTCACTATTGTGCCCTTGATCAAGACCTCAGGTTATCTCAGTAAATGAGTGTACGGCAAGCCACTTTGTTTGAATGAGTATATAATAATTAAGTTAAAAGAGTGAAATTATTATTTGGAATTCTAAAAATGTAATATTAAGGTGAATCTCATAAGTCATGTCCAGGTAATTTCACCCCCAAATTAAAATACCACCGCAAGAGTCCATATAATGTGTGTGGATTACCTTTGGATGATTTCTGTGTGAATTTCCTCGATCTCAGCTGTGTCGTTTTGAGGTTATAGCGCCCTCTATCGTAACTGAAAGACATTTGACTTGTATCATTTGTGTTCTTGCATACCAAATCCTATTCACTTAAAGTCCCAACAGAACACTTTCTCATATCTAATATCAGTCGACCCTTTAGGCTTGTTTCTGGATGATATGCACAATTTACATTTAATCATTAAGGAGACGCTTTTATCCAAAAATGAGAGCCAGACACACAAGAGGGCAAGAGTATACAAGTGATGTAACATGTCTCAGTCAGTCTAGCACAGTACACATACAGGTGAAGCACAAAAAAATAATAATATCGTGCTAAAGTTATGATTTTGATGATCTTGAAATTCAAATACAAAATTTGACTATTACATGAAATCAATAAAAAAAGGTTTCAAAGATTAGTTTCATCTTCTAATTTGAATTACTGAAATGCATGAACTATTGCACGACATTATCCAGTTTTGATGAAGAATATTGTTTGCTATGTGCTCTGCAGGACCCTCTAGAGGTCGTGAGGGAGAAGTGCACGCAGTCGGAGCATTGTGTTCACGCACGCGAGCGGCTGGAGGCGTGCGAATCCCGGGTCGGCTCGCGCTCGGCGACCTCAGAAGACTGTACAGAGGAGCTCTTCGACTTCCTGCACGCTCGGGACCACTGTGTAAGAGCGCTATGCTGGCGGCTATGCTTCTCTCCACCAATTTTTATGTGGATTTTGGGATATCACATTTAAAAAAAACGTTGGATGGAAATGCCAAGATGATCATAAATTCAAAAAATGCTCATAAAAACATATGGCGGATACATTTTTTTATTTGTTAAGAAGACACGCACATAATCTATCATGGAAATATATTTACTAATAAATATAAAGTCTGGCGACTGCTTCAGAACAGGCTGTGATTGGATAACTGGACTAACCAGCAGACCAATCCCATCACAGCATCTCAGATGTTGGTTTTGGTGTTTCTGAAACGCTGTAAAGTCTGTCATCAGAATGATTTGGTTTATACCATGGTCTGGGTGAATACTCGATTCTGATTGGCTGCAGGGTGTTCATTAAAAGGCTATAGAGGACGCCTAGTAAAGGAGTTTTGGTTCGAAATTAATAAATGAATGCGCTGGCAACATCAGCTGTGAGTAACCAAAGTATCCATTTACAACTTGTGCTGCTCCTACATCCTACCTTCTGCGTCAGGTCAAAGGTCACTCACCATGTGGCGGGTCAGAGGTCGACTTGCATATTTCTGTAACAGGAAGCCAGTGATTATTATATTTTATAAAGTTGTAAATATGGATATTTTTCTTACAAAAACACATGGCTTCGCTTCAGAAGGCCTTTATTATCCCCCAGGAGTCGTTTGGATTACTTTTATGATGGATCAATGCGCTTTTTGGGCTTCAAAATCTCACTCCCGTTATAAACCTGGGAAGAGCCGGGATTTTTTTTTTTTTTTTTTCAATGACTCAGATTGTAATCGTCTGAAAGCAGAAAGTCTAACAAACTAACTTTTTTTGGGAGAACTATCACTTTAAATTCACAACTGTGGGTGGAAACAGCTAATGATTGGTAGAGAGTTTTAGATCGATGAGGCATTTTAGGAAGAGTCTTTAAGTTAAAGTACAAACATACATTTAAGAACGCTAAAAAAGAGCTAAATCTATCATTATTTAATCTTGTTTGTCATACCTAACTTGTATGCTGCTATTTTGTGTGTGAGAAAATTCTCAATCTCAAATTCTCAGTCAAATAAATTAAAATAACTTTTGAACATAATTTTTGCTATAACTTGTTTTGTTCTTGTCTTCTACAGGTGGCCCACAAGGTGTTCCAGTCAGTCAAATAAATGGAGCTGTTTATAGATGGTTGCCTGCTTATAGAAATACTGCTCGGTTATTTATATATTGTGATTATTGACCCAGATTCAACAATTCCCTGTAACTGATTCCATATTGCCGAGTTGTGACTGAACTGTTATCTGTTTTCTTCTCTCATATGAAATAATGTGTCCTCTGTTGTTGAGATCAGTAAAGAGATGATGCTAACACAGAATTTGGGTTTGTTGCTAATGTCAAATAACAGAAAACAATAAAGAAATTAAGACAAGTGCTGTTTGTAATACCTTATTGCCATAACTTGATTGTTGGGAACCATAACTTGTGTTTCGGGGTAAGGGGTGCAGCATCGACAGTATACCTGATAGAAATGATAACAGATAAACATCAAGGAACATTATAAATGAACTTGACTTGGGTTCATACTAATAGAGTAGAATCCTTTATAATAATGTGCTGGTGTTTAAATAGAAAGTGAACATTCAACATTGTATAATCTTGCAGTATGTATAATTTAGATAATGCTGTGTCACTCACTCGTTTTAGCAAACAATATCAAAGTGTATAGAATACAATACGATTCAACTTTTCACACAGGAATAAAACCGAAAGGGTGCTATGCTTAATAAAAGTGACATTTAATGGGATAAAATTTGTTTTAAGCAATCAATTACTTTTGATGGACCTTTCAGGAGCTGGAGTGCGGTACTGGGCGGGAAATGCACCACGTGTTTCATACAGCGCGTTTCATTGGCTACAGCGGCGCCCGGAAGTTAGGAGTCGATGCGGTCTTTGCATTGAATTTTAGTGACTAGAATGGAATTTAACATGAAATTATGTTGTTTTAACTAACGGGAGTTAGCAGCCCAAACGTGTCTTTACTGAGAGTTTTTAGTTTGATGGATAAAGATAAAAATCAGATGTAATTTGTTAGAATAATATTCATTGTGTAAACTATATAAAAAAAAATGCTGTCACGTGGTAACTGTTACTTTTCTTAGCACTAGACACTTCGACCCAATCGCAGTCGTGTGTGATTATTGAAGAAGATTTAAAAATATTTATAATTGCAGCGACTTTTCATTTGCATCTCAGATATAAATTATTTGAATGCATCAATTTAAAAGATTATAATTTGAAATGTACAAATATCGCAAATAATTGGGGGAAAAGATTAAGATTAAATGCATTTTAGTGTAAAATCCCGCTTTTTGAGCGCCCCCTGGAGGAACAGTTGCTTTCTGTCACAGATTTCCTTCCATTTTCATTTCCGAAACTCGTGACGGAAACACAACAACAGTAGACGTGTCGAGCACGCGCTCGGTCGTAAGAAAACAATCTTGTGCTAAAATGGGAGTTTCAGATGGAAGCTCGTTGGTGCAAATGTGCATCGTGAAAGTGGCTCAAAACATTGATCTATTAGAAAGAAAGGTTTTGAGTGAGTTTTATTTATAGCAACAATTATTTACTTGTTAATCTCTAGTCTTCAAGACTTCATGTGTAACGTTAGGGCAAATGTAAAGAACGTGAACAGTTTTGACATTTATAATGTTGTTTCTATGTGTCTTGATCTAGATCTGCCTGTCTCTCTCCTGAAAGACTTACTGCCACATCTAAACATTTACTATCTGGACAGGATTGAAACGGCTGCTGCCACTAAAGGTACATATGAATGAAGAGCATCTGTGTTTTCTCTTCATATATATATATATATATAATGGTGTAGAAAATGGATTCCTTTGAATTAAAATGTTCAAATACAGGCCATGTTAATGAAATAAAGCTGATGCTCTTTCAGGAATCTCCACCTCTGTAATTTGGGCAAAAATATGGAGAGATCTGGATCAGACGTGGCGCTGGAGATCGAAGGTTTGCTCTTTATGTGATCATCTCTGCTCAAATCCTGTCTGTCATCATGTGTGATATCAAGCTTGCATATATATATATATATATATACACACACACATACATATTCTGAGTTTTAGAGCAAACTACCAAGTCAAATTCCTCATAAGTGCAATGTACATGGGCAACAAACATATTTTATGTTTTTTATTCAGTTTTTTTGTGTATTGTTTTATTTTTATTCTGGATTTGTAGAGCAAACTACGAAGCCAAATTCCTTATGTATACATTTTTATTTTATTTTAATTTTTAGAGCAAACTACCAAGTGCAACTTACATGGTCAATAAACCTTTTATTTATTTATTTATTTATTCTTAATTTTATTTTGGATTTTTTACTGCAAGTCAAAATCTGTAAGTGGACCTTTTTTTTATAAAATTTCATGAAGTGTATTGTTTTCTGAGTTTTTAGAGCAAACTATCAAGTCAAATTCCTTATACATGGCCAATAAAGATTTTATTTTATAATTTTAATTATGGTTTTTTACTACAAACTACCTAAACAAATTGAATTTCTTATATAGACCTTTAAATTTGATTTTATTCAAAATTTAGTCCCCATGAGACCCGTGTTAAGTGTGCTATACCTGAAATCTGTGTTTTTTCAGTCAGCGCCGCTCTCTCAGGACTGGAAGCAGCGATGTTTGGAAAGGCTCTTTCACATGGTCATGTTCACCCAGGTCAGTCGAGGAGGGTCGTACCTTTCCAACCTCAGCGATTCCTCCATCCTCTCCATGACCGTGAAGCACGTCAGGGTCCTCTCTCTAAACACCTCAACCAAAAACATCTGCAGGCTCGCATCCGGTGCCCTGCGGCCCATCCTGAGCACCCTTGAATCGGGCGTGACGTCCCTCAGATTACTGGATGCCAATGCTCTACTAAAACAGGGGCGGAAATACGTGTTGTTCATCCTCCACCGGCTCCTGGACCACGGCTCTGTCAGAGAAGTGGTTCTGAGAAGAAACTCAGATTCATCTTTTCTGCGCTGGCTCATATCCAGGCACAGGGGTCCTCAGGGGTCATCAGTGCCCCACGCTGACGCCCATTGCTCAGATGACGGAGAGCTGGAGGAACCCGCAGCCAAACGTCTCGCTTTGGACGCGGAGGAAAATCCAGAGGTTTTGTGCCGCGAGTTTTCATCCTTTAGCAGCCCTGCTGACCACTGCCCTGAAGGTCAGATCCACTCGTTTGATTTTGAAGTGTCCAAATGTGAAATCCTGACCACGGTGTCACCTCTCTTGCCTACATGGTTGTGTCTTCACACACTACATCTTCATCACAGCGACTGTAAGTACATGCTGATGCTTAAATATGATATCTAGTTTTTCCTAAACGTCTACACGTATAGTCAGGTGGAAATATACATATATATATATATATTAGGGCTGTGCAAAAATTAATTGCGATTAATCGCATCCAAAATAAAAGTCTGTGTTTACATAATATATTTGTGTGCGCTGTATATAATTATTTTGTATATATAAATACCTATGCATGCATGTATATATTTAAGATTTATTTGCACTTAAATTCTGTATATATATATAAATACAAAATCTATATTATATAAATATACATATTTTATTTATAAATTAACACATTTTCTTAAATATATAGATGCATGTGTGTGTATTTATATATACAAAATAATTATATACAGCACACACAAATATATTATGTAGACATAGACTTTTATTTTGGATGCGATTAATCGAGATGAATCGTTTGACAGCCCTCGTTCGAAGTGCTGCGATATACATCTCTACATCTCCTCACGCGCAGCTAGCCGAAACTCCTACTTTATGTGTACGGGTGTGACGTAATGACGCAAAGACATGCACGAATTTCCTGCGGAAACCCACCAGTACCACTGGAATTAAAATCATTATTACAAGCTAACCTTTTTGAATCAAGATAGTTTTGACCACTGGCAGAATATTTTTTTTTTTTTTTTTTTCATAATTATTTTGGATTATTTTTAACGAAAGCAGCTTTAAACAACCATGTAGGAAGACACACCATGGCCATATTCCTGATTGGGAGGAAACATGACGAATCATTTCCTCATATTAACTATCTGCATTGACTTTACGAGATCTTGCCCAAATATTAATGCACATCTTGATGGAAATAAATGTTGTGAAGTCTACTCTGTCACTGTTTATGTATATATATTTTTGGCTTAATATGGACATCTCTGAATGCAGTGGTGTTGTGTGTGTGTGTTTGTGTGTGCAGGGCTCATTCACGAGGAGGAGATGTCAGTGTTGGTGGAGTCTCTCAGACGCTTGTTCCTGAACCCCGGCTGCTCTCTCACAGATCTCAGTTTAAGTCACGTTTGCGGTCACACACACTTGATCGGCGTGCTGAGAGCGTGTCCGAGTCTCTTGAGCCTTTCTCTGGAGATCTGCCCTCCTGCCGACAGAAACACACACAGGCTGCAGACGTGCTTCACTCAGAGCAGACGTGAGTCAAACTGATGCTGTTCATATGCTACAGTTTTCATAGATTGAACATCGCTAGTTGATGTTAACTTTTAGCCAACAACCTAGAGGTGGAGTAGATATTTTATAAAATCAATGGCATCGCAATAGCCTGACTTCGTCCTACTCATTTTCTTGTCGGAATATGAGTCTGAAACCGCTCCATAGGGCTTTTATTATAAGGCGCGTCTTAACCGAACCAGGAAAAAAAAAAACTCTGCACTCAATTGGATAGTCGGTAAACCTACAACCAATCAGAGCAACACAGTAAGTCAACTACTTTGCATACAGTTGTCAACTACAGAACTTACTTATTTTAGAAGTTAAATAACGAGTGGTACTTCTTTACATGAGTGCGACCAAAGGAGAAACAACGACCACAGGCTTTTCATTACGTCCCATCTTCTTAACGACCGTCAGAGCCAGAATCATGTAGGAAGGACGGCAAAAATATCTTTCTGATCGACAAATGCCTTGATTGCAGTTCTCTGTTTGTCTATTAAAATTAATGCGCTGTCGATTTATTTTACAACAGACGCGACAGCGGAATCTATACATCTCAATTCTCCAGCAGCGAAACCAGTTTAGCGCTCGTTGATAACGTGATGATTACGTCCCTGAGGATCATCTGTCCATCATCGTATAAAGCCCGCCCTGGCAATTTGATTGGCCCGAATGTTATTTGCCTGACCATAATTACTCCTCAATGGATCGAGTCCAGACCGAACTTCCCAACCAAAAAATGTTGTGGGCGGAGTTCAGGCTGACATCTAACGATGCTTTCGGGAAACGCATCCCAGGCTAGCATCAAAATATAAGATATTGGAAATCCAAAAAGCCAACAAGAACAACAATCCACCTTATTCCTACGCCCCATGACGCTTTGTGCGAATTGGAGTAGTTCACTTTTAAAAAAAACTTTTGTTGATAATTTACTCACCCCCATGTCATCCAAGATGTCCATGTCTTTCTTTCTTCAGTCGAAAAGAAATTAAGGTTTTTGATGAAAACATTCCAGGATTTTTCTCCATATAATGGACTTCAATGGGAACCAAACGGTTCAAGGTCCAAAAGACAGTTTCAGTGCAGCTTCAAAGGACTTTAAATGATTCCAGACGATGAATAAGGGTCTTATCAAGCGAAACGATCGCTCGGTACTTAATAAATATATTAACAATGTTAAATAAAAATAAAAAAAAATATATACATATATTTATATGTTTTCAATTAATTACCGAGACACAATTTCTCATTTTTATTTAGTATAATTTGATTCACTTAAATAATTAAAATTGAAAAAGGGGCGAAAAGTACTAAATAGACTATTAAAAAGGACAAAAACAACAAAACTAATAAAAAAATGTATTAATAAAATTAAAAAATAATATTAATAAAACCTATATAAATATCTGAATTATATCACTCTTGACTGATTGTAACTGAAGATATTTGTCTATCATTCATTAATAATGAAGTAAGTTTGAGATTGATGATTGAGTGTTTATCTGTCATTCCCAGAGCTGTGTCTGGAGAAGCTGTCGGTCAAATCCACGGGTCCGATGACCGTCAAGTGTTTTCTTCCGGCGCTGACGTGGACGCCCAAACTCACCAGCCTTCATCTGTCAGGAACACGCCTGTCTCCACGCTTCTTCCACACAGTAGCAGGTACTCTAGACATCTACTTCCTTCTGCCAGCCTGGTGAAAAATCAACATGCGACTCTAAAATACTAAAATGCAGAAATAATGTTACAAGAATATGCTTAATTGTAAGGAAGCGTATTGCATTCACTTGAGGAAACAAAATCTATTCTGTTTCTCAGAATTACGAGAATTTTTCATGGAATTTTTATGAATTAATTACTGAGATAATTAACTCGATAATTCAGAAAAACAGAGTAAAAACTTTTTCTGTGAAAAATTATCTTCTAATTCTGAGATAATTAACTTGTTAATTCAGAAAAAAGAGAAAAAACTTTTTTACATGAAAAATTATCTGAGATAATTTATTCGTTAATTCAGAAAAACGTAGCAAAAACTTTTTTTATCAGTGAAAAATTATCTTGTAATTCTGAGAAAATTATCTCGTTAATTCAGAAAAGCAGAAAAAAACTTTTTTCCATAAAAAATTCTCGTAATTCTGAGATAATTAACTCGTTAATTCAGAAAACAGAGTGAAAACATTTTTTTTTCAAGTAAAATATATCTCATAATTCTGAAATAATTAACTCGTTAATTCAGAAAAAAAGAGTAAAGTTTTTTCCATGAAAAATTCTCGTAGTTCTGAGATAATTAACTTGTTAATTCAGAAAAACAGAGCAAAAACTTTCTCTGAAAAATGATCTTGTAATTCTGAGATAATTAACTCGTTAATTCAGAAAAACAGAGCAAAAACTTTCTGTGAAAAATTATCTTGTAATTCTGAGATAATTAACTCGTTAACTCAGAAAAACAGAGAAAAAACTTTTTCCCATGAAAAAATTCTCGTAATTCTGAGATAATTAACTCGTTAATTCAGAAAAACAGAGTAGTTTTTATTTTTCTTCAAGTGAATGAAATACGCTTCCGTACATGTCAGCTCGGGTTCATAAATAATTTTAACAGATACTACTATTTTTTTTTTTAGTAAATGTCGAAATTAACATGAACTAAGGTAAATCTCTCGTTTAGAAGTGTTTTCACTGTTAGTTCATGTTAACCAATGTAGTCTTGTATGTTATGATATACAGTTAAAATCACAATCAAGTACTTTACTGTGTTTGCCAACACATTAAAATAAGTGTACGTTTAAGCACGTACTTTAAGTAAAACCTTATTTTACATTATTACAAAGTGCATTTTTAAGTGCGTACTTAATAGTTGCTTAAAAGTGGCATTTTATTTAATTGAAATTAGTCTGACTTTTTTACAGTCATGCACTCTTAAGATTTGTGCACATTCATTACTTTCAAGCGTACTTCTTTTCCACAAAAGCAGAGGCCAAACAAATGTATTTCTGAGGTAATGGTGAAAAAATGCCATTGCAGTTTAATAATGTAGAAATACTTGCCTTAGAAAAAATATAATTTCAGTGTCATTACAAAATGTTTTCCCCGACTAAATGCTATTAAGCTACAAACTAATTTTGTTTTGTAGAAACACAGTTGATTCATATGAAACATGTCTCCTTTTCCCCTCATAGAATCGAATCCTTTACTCAAAGTATTAAACCTGGAAGACGTAAACCTAGCTGACTATCACCAGGAGATCCTCCATTTCCTGGAATATTCTGTGTTAGAAGGTACAGCATAATGCAGAAAAATAATATTTTTTTTCTTATGAGTGGAACCATTCCCAAACCCAAATAGCATTGAGACACTAAACTTACACCCCATGCAGCACTTCTTGCATTCATAAAAGTCTTGAAATAATAATGTTTGCAATTTTGATTGAATCTCAGAGCTGTCCTTGAACGACTGTCGGCTGCTGGATAAGTGTACCGTAAAGAAGGACTTCCTGTTGCCGTTTGTTGAAGTGCTGAGAGGGGTCTCGTCCCTCCAGAGCCTGACGCTGGCCCAGAACCGACTCGGTAAGACTCAACTCACTCTGTACTATTATTTTTTAATCGGAGAAATGTGACCTAACTTGTTTTTCTTTTTCCAGCATCAGGTGTCATCGAGTTGGCCAACTTATTCTCAGGATGCCGTCCCAGCCAAATCACAAAATTAGACCTTAGGTAATGATGGTTTTGTTGCACAGGGTTCCTGCACACTTTTTAAAGGTAAAATTTAAGGCTTTTTAAGACCTGAAGAAATCAAATTTAATACCCTACATTAGGGGTGTGCAATATTGACAAACATATCTCAATATTTTCATCGTTTTGTTGATAATAATTAGTTGATATTTTACTGATTGTGTTTTTGTGCTGGTGCCATGGCTGGTTTAAGCCTGTTGTTGACAGCAGACTCGCGGAGATATTTATATTTTTCATATTTTTGAGAACAGACGTTATTCTGCCGCGAATGTGACGCGAATTAGATAAAATTAATACGTACGCAAATTAGATGGTTTTAATTTGGAAAACATTAAGATATGACTGTCGAAGTGTCATCTAAAATTTAAGACCTTTCATATGTAAAAATAAGACTTTATAAGACTTTTAATGGCCTTAAATTTTAAATATCTCATTTAGGACTTTTTAAGGACCAGCGGGAACCCTGTTGCATTCATCTTCCATACATGTTTGCTTACACAATAAACATAATGTGTTCTTCCATCCAGCTCAAACTTCATTCTCCCTGCTGAACTTCTGGAGTTTGCACAGCTGCTGGAAACATGCAGACCGGTTCAGCGACTGACCCTAGACCTGCGCTTTAATCCACTGGATCGTGACCCTGAGGTCAAAGGTCAAGCTCTGCGCAAGCTCATCCCGCACTGTAACATATTAACGGACGACTGGGACTCCAGGTCCACCATGGCGGATCACGTCAGTGTGATGTGACAAACTCTTTAGCTCCCTCGTGAAAGACATGGAACAAAATCATGCAGACGTGACCGAGACACCTTGGATATAGTTCACGTTTAATGACGCCGATAGGGACAAACATCGAATGTGTCTAAATGCTCCGAATAAATAAAATGAAAGTACAAGGAAGAGAACTTAATTACAGTGTACTATCCTACAGTTTCCAGATCAGCTGCAGTGTTCAACCTGTATGATGCGATGTGTTCGTTCATGACGCTCAGACGACTCCTCTCTGGTCCTCATGCGAGCGCTGGTGAAAGACGAAGGAGACGGCAGCGTCCCAGGACGCCTGCAGCACCGGGTCCCTCAGGCCTCTTTTGTCTGAACAGTGCTGCCAGTTGGACAGGTCGCTGGTGCAGTCCGAATCATCTGGAGGAGGGCGCACCTGACGATTGTTTACACAGCGCCTACAGCGAAACCTGACACACACAAAAAGGGATTTAAACACAAATGCCCTCATCCATGAATAAATTAATGATTCATTTAGGAATACTTTAGCTGTGTTGCTGTGAGTAAGCAATTGAGTAGACTAAGATTCATCGAGAGTGAAAGCCATTATCCCACTCATCCAGCATATTTGTGGCGGTGTGTGATGATGCTGTATGGCAGTGGTTCACAAACATTAGGCTAATTTCACCAATACATTAGGAATACTTTTAGCTGTGTTGCAATGTGTCATGAGTAATCCCACCGAGGCATTTAACCCCCTATGATGCGTCACTGAATAAAACGTCCGATTTTGTCAAATTGGGTGTTAAATTTCGTTCGTTCATCCCCTCCACTGGATGGCAGACATGTCATACTTCATCCCCGATGTTTCTATACAAAATGTTAGAGTTACAGCGCACCTCTCCGCGATCGCGGCGATAGTTTTGTTGTGGAGACTTTGTTTATCATCACTGGGTATGTTAGACGAGGTCGAAGTATTCATAGTACAGATAGGGGCTAACGTGGGGAGTCGCAATAGTAGGCAGATCTGGCCGCGATCGCGCTACTCGTATCATCGCTTATGATCTGCGCTTTGCCCTAACGAGTGATCTTTTGAACTAAACAGGTCTCGTCTACTTGTGTTTGTGTGTCATATGAATAATATAAGCCCTATACATGGAATCAGAGTGCCTACCGTATGTAGTAAATGGAAAATCTCCACAGCAAAAGGCCAACCACTACATGCATACGGTTTGTTCTACCATTTATTAGTAATGATTTACCAACATGACATCATGACTTTTGCGTAAACATATACGCCACTTTCGCGCCAGGTGGCGTGTTATCTCTACGCATTTTGAGCTATCCGCGTGTATCCGCGTGTATGCGTATATGTCTACGCCATTAACGTCCGCGTCATTCCGCGTGTCTGTACACGCAGTCAAATCTCCAGTCATAAATGCCATTAACCCCAGTGATGGTTAGGTTTAGGGACGGGGTTGAGGTAAGTCATATATTTATATAACGTTAAGTCAACGGCGTTCATAAACACGCTGAAAGGCGATTATGCGCCTTGACAGCACGCCAAAAATGGAAATACGAATTGGCGTGTGTACACACGCTATTTCATGAGATCAGTCTGGATTTACACAGTTTGTTTATTACTTACTATATACCTGAGCATTCAGTATTGTGCAATATAGCATACAGAAGGTGATGGACATTTTATGGGGGGAAAGAAGTGCTGAATTTTATCATTTAAACATGTGACTTTTCATGAAAATTATATATAATCCAAGATTTCTGCCACCATATGCGTCTTATCCACTGTGCCATCACCACCACCTTTTGATTTAGTTTTAGTCTTGAATCGATTTCTATGCACAGTCTGTCTATATTTGATCTTTATGCTAAGAAGTGCTAAATCCACACTTTACAAAAGTGAGAACGGCAGTAACGTAGTGTTTTACCTGTCATGCGTGTCGCTGATGGTCTTCTCGTTGAGTAAGAAGAGTTCTCGCAGCTCTCCAAGAGAGAAATGTCTTTCCACATCTTGTTCCTCGTCCACTACACAGCTACTCAAAGCTTTCTTATGAGCCTGTCTCTGCAAGATCTTTTCCTCTATCGTCCCAGTCTGACAGAGAGGGGAAAAGAAACAAGCTGGCTACTGATCCACTTTTAAATGATGAGTATCTAATTCAAGAGACATTTGTCCATTTCATTGGGAAAACATCTGTCAACTCACCGACAGCAGTCTGTAGATGAAGCAGGTCTTCTTCTGTCCATCTCGCCACACTCTGGCCATCGCCTGCTCGTCATTGGCTGGATTCCAGTCAGGGTCGAACATCACCAGGCGATTTGCACCAATCAGATTCAGCCCACAGCCGCCAGCCTTGCTACTCAGCATGAAGATGAACTCTGGATTCTGGAAGAGAAGAATTAAAGTGCTAAAGCTGAAATTAAATAAACTATAAATAGTAGATGAAAAGCAAACTTATTTCAGCTTGCACACAAGGCAACATTTCCATATATATATATATATATATAAACTCCTCTTATTTATTTATTTATTTATATATATATATATATATATATATATATACACACACACACACACACACACACACAAACATAAAAATATATATATATATATATATATATAAAGAGGAAGTCATAATTATTTATTTTAAAACTATAATAGTATATAAATAGAACTAAAATAACATTAATAAGACTTGAAATGACAGATTATGAAATGGAAACAGACTTACAGAGGGGGTGTTGAATCTCTCCACAACCTTTGCTCTCTTCTTGATGGACATTGTTCCGTCCAGTCTAACGTAAAGGTATCTATTCATGGAAAAAAAAAATTCTTTAAACCATAATAACGCTGAATGGTAATATTTTGTCTCATGGCTAAAATTTGTAGATGATGTAGTGTACATCTATAGGGAGAATACTTCCAGATCAAGGCCGCTTGCGCTCCACACTGAAGCTGGATTTACACTACCGGTTAAAAGTTTTAGATGGGTAAGATTTTTTATGTTTTTAAAAGAAGTCTCTTCTGCTCACCTAGGCTGCAATTATTTGATAAAAAAAAAAAAAAAATACAGTAATATTGTGAAATATTATTACAATTTAAAACAGCGGTTTTCTATGTGAATATAATAGTGAAGTGTAATTTATTCCTGCGATCAAAGCTGAATTTACAGCATCAACACTCCAGTCTTCAGTGTCAAATGATCCTACAGAAATTATTATAATATGATGCTCAAGAAACATTTATGATTATTATCCATGTTGAAAACAGTTTTTTACATTTTTATTTCAGGATTCTTTGATGAATAGAAAGTTCAAAAGAACAGAATTGATCTGAAATGAAAAGCTTTTGTAACATTAATCACTACCATTCAAAAGTTTGGGGTCAGTAAGAATTTATTTTTTATCAAGGATGAGTTAAATTGATCAAAAGTTACAGTAAAGACGTTTATAATGTTAGAAAAGATTATATTTTAAATAAATGCTGTTCTTTTGAACTTTCTATTCCTCATAGAATTTTGGGCGGGGGAAATGGTACATGACTGTTTTCAACATTGAAAATAATAATTGATGTTTTTTAAGGATAAAATCAGCATATTAGAATGATTTCTGAAGGATCATGTGACACTGAAAATTGATGTGTAATCAGCAACGGTAATGATGTTGAAAATTCAGCTTTCAAATTACATTTTAAAATATATTAAAATAGAAAACAGTCCTTTTAAATTGTCATAATACTTCACAATATTACTGTTTGTCAAAGTTTTTTTTTCATCAAATAAAGCAGCCTTGGTGAGCAGAAGAGACTTCATTTAAAAACATAAAAAAATCTTACTGATCTAAAACTTTTGACCAGTAGTGTATATTATCTGAAATCCTCACCTTCGGGTTCGACACAACTTTTCAAAAAGGTCCAAAGTTTGTGTGTAGTTAGAGACCAGAACCACTTTATCACTTGTTGTTGTTCTGGTCATCGCCAGGATATAATCCAGCACCAGCATCTTCCCTGTAAACAAGGCAGTCATAGATCACGGTCAGACATGAATAAATCAGGGAAGTATTTTTTTAAAAATAAATCAAAACTATTTTCCCCACATTTGTCCAGAATACGGTTTTAGGGTTAAAATGTAATTTATTCCTGATCAAATTGAATTTTTAGCATCATTACTCCACATGATCCTTCAGAAATCATTCTAATATGATTTACTTCTCAAGAAAAAATTCTGATTATTATCAATGTTGTGCTGCTTCAGATTTTTGTAGGATTTTTTTCAGGATTCTGAACCAAGTTTAAAAGAACAGCATTTATTTGAAACTATTTTGTAACACTCAAAGTGTAACTTTTGAACGGCAGTGCAAGTCAGAACTGACCTGAGAGCTGTGGTTCTACTGCTTTAGTTGAATAATTTGGTGGGAAGAGGTCCAATGCTCCATCAAAACCCTCTTCTCCTGCCAGACACTTCTCATAAATCAAGGCAGGATCTAACAAAGAGAACAAAAACACATTTTGTCGTTTTAATGCAACAATAATGTTGTCAGAAAAAGGTAAAGAGGTCCACACTCACGGTTACAGAGCTTCTTAAGCGAGGTGATGGAGGACAGAGAAGACACCGTGATCTTGCCGGTCTGCAGACTCTCTACAGGTTTGGACTGCTTCAGGAATAACTTGTACAGCTCTTTCTGGAGAGGAGTAAGACTGAAAAAAAAAAAAAAAAACACACTTAATGCTTCTTAATGCTTCCTTCAATGCAAAATAAACGTTACACTTTATGTTTTAAAGGGATAGTTCACCCAAAATTAAAATTCTGTCAGTAATTACTCTCCCTCATGTTGTTCAACTCCATAAGACTTTGCTCATTTTCAGAACACAAATGAAGATATTTTTGATTAAATCTGAGAACTAGATCACTCCTCCATAGGCTTCTAAGGGACCGAAACTTGCCAACAGAGAAGGAAATGAATAGTTGAATAAAGTAGTTATTTTTGAGCCCTTAAAGGAACACACTGACTTTTTTGGACTTTAGCTTATTCATCATATCCCCCAGAGTTAGATAAGTCCATACATGCCTTTTTCCATCTCCGTGAGTGCTGTAACTCTGTCTGACGCACCCACCGCTAGCCTAGCTTAGCACAAAGACTGGATGTAAATGGTTGCAGTAGCATACTAATCCCAAATAAGTGACAAAATAACGCAAACATTTTTCTATTTACATGTTGTGATTTGTATAGTCACAGAGTGTACAAATAACAAGGTCATAGACACAGCCATCTTTTAACCGTATAAATATTGGGAAGTATATTCTCAGAAGGCAGCGCCGAGACGCAAAAAGGCATGTATGGACATATCTAACTCTGGGGGATATGCTGAATAAACTAAGTCCCAAAAAGTCGGAGTGTTCCTTACTTAGTTAAAAGTTACTTAGTTCTGCTTTAAGCTCTGAGATTATCTTAATTTGTCTTAATTTACATTTTGGGTGAACTAACCCTTTAAGTGCTGATGACGGCACACATGCATGTATTAAACACTTTATATTGTTATACATGTAATTTTGAACCTTGCTATTACAGAAAGTAGGGGATATGACCATCAACTGATCTCTTACTTGCAGCAGACAACTTGTTCAATCTTCACAGGCAGATACTTGGAAAGAATATCTGAGGTTCTTCGAATCAAACACCTTGACAAAACAAACACAATTTTTAATTGAAATGAATTGAATGGTGTGATAGTGTGGCCGGGTCGTTTTCTCTCATGCTCACCGGTTTACAATGCTGATGAG